CTCGTAGGAATTTTGATTCAGCCCTTTTGCCATCAACAAGGTAATACCACGTCATTTAGAAGATAATACTTTAAGTTAATAATAATTTAGACACATTATTAAAAGTGAATTTGCATACCAAATCATGCAAGATTAGGTAATAGAGAAAAAAATCTACATAATTATCATTTTGATTACATCTCATGATTTTATTATTTTATTGTATCATGTTAGAAGTATACATATATATGTAATATCATTGCAATGTAACACCATTGCAATGTAAAATTTTTGTTGAGTCACTGGATCGCACTTCCAAATTGATTAGTTTTTGTCACACCTAATTTGTTTCACCATGAAAACATTTTAAGAGTTAAAATTTTTACATAAATAGATATTAAATTGTAAACTCATATAGAATAATCTAACTAAAATTGAAAAGATCACATGAGAGGTGATATTGACATTCAGAATTAAATATTAGAATTCATTACATAACAAAAATTCAAACAAAAGCACTGCAACTATTTTCCATTCCAAGAAAAATGAAAATTTGTTTAAAAAAAGAAAAAAAAAAAAGCCCCACACACAACCTAAGGACTTATTGTCTATCAATTTCTTTTTCAGCGTTAGTCTCTGCTCTTGGACTTACTGCTATTGGGTGGTTAAGTCTTTCTCAATTACTTAGCATTTGGAAGGAAAAGATAAAGCCAATCGAGTTATCACTAAAAATAAATAAATAAATAAATAAAAGTAAGAGATAAAAAAAAAGTGGTGAGAATGTTATTATTAATCAAGTGCAAGACAAATTTTCACTTAAAACTAATTTATCTTAACATTACAAGAAACTCCAAAAATAAAATATTACCATAAAAAACGTTATACATAAAGCATCCATACTGATTCCCAATAAAGAATGGAAAATAGATCGACTAATTCAAGTAGGAGTAGTAATTTGCATTCTACTTTCTGCTTTGGAACATCTTCGGAACAGAGGGCAATATAATGACTAAAAACAGAAGCTAGAAATGAAGTATTACCATCTCAGCACATGTTTTATGTCTTCTCTTTCCCCATATCATCACCTTGGACCAGATAAACTACACCATGATGGACATTGAAGGCCTCTTAGCATATTCACCTTGCAAAGACCATGCCGCAACTTTCATCATCTCCACAACCTCTGCTGCATTTGATTGCAGCTCCTCATTGTACTTATCCACTAGATCCAGAAGTTGACTATCCTCAACCTTTCTTTTAAAAAGGCTTACCAAATTGGCATCCTCTTCTGGTAGGGATCGATCAACATTTTTTCTGCCACATAAAATTTCCAGAACAACAATACCAAAGCTGTATGCATCTACCCTTTCTGTGATTACCGACTTCAACCACTTAGGGCCCATATATCCTGGTGTTCCTCTCATTGTTGTCACCACTTGGCTTTGCTTTCTCCTTACTAGCTTAGACAACCCAAAATCAGAAACTCCTGGCACTGAAATTCTCATCCAAAATAATGTTTTGGGGTTTAATATCATTATCATTATATATAATAAATGAGCTGCAGTAAGGCAAGGTTTCAAGTTAAACTAGTTCATATTATCATTATATATAATAAACTTGAAAAGCAAGAAGGAATCATATTATCTGGTATGATTATTTCCATTAGGGAAAGGAAGATTCATTCTGTCAACAAAAATACCAATAACAAGGTTCAGAGTGGACCCTAAAAGAGAGAAAGAAAAAAGGCAGACGAGACTTCTCTCCGTTCCTCAATTGCTAAATAGTTGGTTGTCCCTATCTGATAAAAAATGCCACATCTATCTGCTTAAGTATTTATGAAATTTTTTTCAACGGCCTCATGCCAGTTTATGATAGCTCATATTTAAAGAAAAAGGTATTACGCACATTGTTCTCTTAAATTTTTTTGGAGAACTTGTTTGAAATTTTTTTTAATTAATATTTGAAAGTAGTATATG